TGAGTGTTTGCAAATGCCAAATACTCTCTAGAGTTAAAAGAACATAGTCTAATTACCTTTGACAATAGCCAATGTAAGTAAAAGGGTGCTAGTAGGTTGAGGTGAAAGCAGAGGTCCAACTACAAATGACGGGTTCACCACCACGAGATCAATTCCATTTTCCTCGGCAAATTTCCATGCCTCCGTTTCTGCTATGGTTTTGGCATAAGCATACCAAAGCTGCAATACAACAGGGATTTCATAAAAGTTTTAGCAAGCAAAAAGAAAAAAAAAAAAATTGCTACTTTCTGAAGTCACAATATTCATAACATGATAATCACTATTTTAGTAATTAAACCGTTGAAAATAAGAATGGAATTCTTGGAGTTTGGTGACATACATTGTAGTTTGTACAATATTGAGGATCACTCCAGTGAGATTCATTAAGCGGTGACACTTTTTCCACATCGTATCTGTATCTAATTGAAGAACAAGAAGAGGTGAGCACAACCCTTTTCACACTTTTAGCTTTCTTGCATGAGTTTAGCACATTCATTGTCCCTTTTATGCATGGATTAACCAAATTTTCCTGCAAATATTCACCAACATAATGTAACACAAGATCATATATCAAAATTGTAGTTTTACTAATACGTCGATTTGCTGCCACTAATTTCCCCACAGAAAATTAGTTGTAGAAAGATTTCTATTATAAATATTCTTGCCGTTGAAAGTCATGAATTTATTTTTTTTTTCCATTTGGTAACATTTTATTGGTAAAAATCGATAATTATTAACCTTTCGCTAACATAGATACAAGACTAAAATTGGACTTTAGGCAATTAATTCAGCTAAAGAATGCAATCTTTTTATATGTAAAGTAACTTGCCATAACATTGTCATCATGGCTGACGAGCACAGGAGATGCGGTGTGGAAGACCCCATCAACTCCCTCAACAGCCTCGTCAAAACTTCCTTCATCGACTAAATCAGCTTTCATAATCTTGAGCCTTTCCTTAGCTCCATTTAGCTCCCAAAGATAACTTACTTTCTCTGCATTTTCTGGTGTAATACAAAATTCAAACACTAATAACAAAGGGTTTACAGAGTCTCATGGTTATGTTTAATAAAATAACAGTATCTTCTTTTTTATTTTCGAATCTATCTACCATACATGACTTCAAATTTCATTAATACATATTATAACAAACAGAATTTAT